GATACAACTAATAACAATTTTATTCTTATTTTCCAATCACTTTATCTGTTAAATTCCTTTTACTTGCATTATCTCTCAGGCCAAGACCTGTTTCATAGCACTGAACAGAAGTGATGAGCATGGTCATTTTAGACTTGAAAATCTAAATGTACATACAGGTCTCATCCCTCAAATTCTGACTCAGTAGGTTCAGGTTGGGGGCCTAGAAAATCCACATTTTATAAGTATCCCACGTGATTCTGATGTAAGGGTGTCCTAGAAACACACTTTGAGCAATATTTTTAAAGGATATCTTTTACTCAGCTGAAGAATTTTCTTAATAAGAATGAAGTTTTATGCTCTTATTTTTTTCTCATCTTCTCCTCTCTGTCCTCTTCCATGTCAGTGATGGATTTATACCATCTTACTTTTTCCAAGTACTCTTTTGTACAACTTCTCTTTCCCTTGCTGTATCTCTGGAAATAATATGTATGTAAGAATACAGAGTTTTATTTTTTTTATTTTTTTTATTGTTGGTTGTTCAAAACATTACATAGTTCTTGATATACCATATTTCACACTTTGATTCAAGAATACAGAGTTTTAAAATGATGATTGACTTTAGAAAAGAGGGAAAAATATCTTTTTCCTAGGCTAGCAATCATGTTTCAAAAAGAAAAAAGTAACCACATCTGGAAGGAGTTGAGATCGTTGAATTCTATCCTTTTGATATACACATTTGCATCCACACCAGCAGACATAAAATTTTAGGTGCTGTCATATGACTGGAACAATCTGTGGATTATAAAGGATGCAGTTACATAAAACAGACTTGGATAACAGGAGATCACTTGTGAGAAGTGCAGATACCATGTGATCAATTACAAATTAAAGGAAAAATATGTTTTCTTGGATGGACAAAGTATTCCATGGATATTTATGAAAAGGAGTAGAGATACAAAAACAGCTCCAAATGGTTAGGTATTGAAACTAGGAAGAACATTTAAGATTTTAGTATTGACCCTTGCATTTTCAAAAATGAGGTGCCTGAGCCCCATCCTGGCAGATGACTTGCAATGTACTTGATGAGGCGGTGGTAATGTTGGGATCCCTGATTCTACCCCAGATTCTTCCCCTGATGTCACCAAACAACTATTTTATAACATGAAGTCACGAATGTGAAAGGAATGAATACCAGAGGATAAAGAATATGGTCACATACAGACAAGCCCACAAAAGTGAGTCCTTCATATGAGATACAAGGAAAAGGACTGACTCTGCAAAGGAACTGTTAGAAAGAACTAAAGAAAGAGGTGAGAAAAGGGGGCAAAGTGAAAGCAAAAACAAAAAATAGTTGAAAGAGAAGAAATAAATTAAGGAAGCCAAGAAATGAAAGATATAATCAGAAATGAAAAAGTGATAAAAGAATTCCAAAGCATGAAGAAAGATATAGTATTATATTCTGTTGTCAAAACATGTTAATCTGGAATTACAAAATAAATAACAAAATAATAATCAAATAACAAAATAATTTATAATGAAATAAAATGAAAGTGCCTTTAAACTCCTCTAAAGAGGGGTTAACCTAAAGTGGTAGCAATATTAACTTCCTAATCCTCTAAAATGTTAAATGAATGAGAATCAGAAATTCAAAGGTGTACTTCTCTATATTAAGAACCATTATTTCATAAAATCAAAGAAACATTGGAAAATCTAAGGCTAGTTATTCCTTCAAATGGCTTTGTCATTTTTCTAAAGACTGACTAATAAATGAAAATTCTAGTACAAGAAAATTCCAAGTATCTTGAACAAGGAAATTAGCACTGCATTAATTCAGAGTTAAGATTAATATAGTATTCAGAATTGTTTGAGTTTGTTTTCTTACTTTTTATACTTCCTAAATAACATAAACTCAAATGTTGTAATTACAATTTGGATTTACAACCCTAGTAGTCATCTAAAAATATTAACTCTCATAGTTCATTTGATAAGACAATGATCTTTCTTGTTTCCTCTTGGAATTGGAGGCATATATTTTTAATTTATGTTTAACAAAGAATAAATGTGATATAATGACGAGGTGTATTTAAAATATTTTAAAAGTCACATTTAAAATATGGATAGTACACCAAATACATATACTTAGAAAATCAGTATACACTCATCCTTCCATATCCATGGGCTCCTATTTTAGTTAACTTTTTGTCTCTGTGACCAAAATACCTGACAAAAATAACTTAGAGGGGAGAAATTTATTTGGGCTCACAGTTTCAGAGGTTCAGTCCACAGTCATCTGACTCCATAACTCTGAGTCCAGGGTGAGGCAGCACAGCATGGTGGAAGGGCATGACACAGGAAAGACGCTCAGGAAATGACAGCCAGGATGCAGAGAGCAAAAGTACGCCCCCAGTGACCTACGTCCTCTCACCACACTCTGCCTATGTTAACCACCCAGTTAATCCACATCAGTGGATTAATCCACTGATTAGGTTACAGCTCTCATAATCTCATCATTTCGCCCCTTTTCATTGTCTCACACCTGAATTTGGGGGGAACATCTCATATCTAAACCATAACAGTTCCACATCTATGAGTTGAACCAAAAGTAGATCATAAATATTGGGGAGGGGCTTACATCTGTACTGACCATGTATAGACTTTTTGTTCTTGTCATTGTTCCCTAAATGATACAGTATAAAACTATTTATATAACTCTTGCACAGTATGAGGTATTATAAATAGAGATGAGTTAAAGCATATGAGTGGAAGTATATAGAATCTCTGCAAATACAACAGAATTTTAGATAAGGGACTTGAACATCTGAGGCTTTGGGGGGGGTCCTGGAATCATTAAGGAGATAGGATTTGAAATCAGGAAGACGTGGATTTGATCCCCAAACTTAACGACTCATTCGTATGTAATCTGCCTTTACCCTCTTTTTTCTCTCCGTCTCTTCTTCCTTTCCTTCTCTTCCTTCCTTCAGAATCACTTGCTGAGCATTTACTAGGTACTAGGTTCATGTCTTAAATACATCCTTAGGGAGAACATGGAAAGTTTATAGGGAAGAAACTGAGGTGTGCCATTGGAGGACAGGTACAGATGCAGGAAGCAGCCAGACTTGGGGCAATTCCCAGTAGACTAGAAGAAAGTATAGTAAGTAAGGATGAAAAGACAGATTAAAGTCATGTTGATGAAGACCCCTTTTGCCAGGGTGAGCACTTTCAATTAACATGCAGAGAACTCTCTAAGAATTAGAAATCAAGTGGCTAAAGGAGTTAACCCAGTACTGGAAGGATATGGGAGGGGAAATCTTTGAGAGGAACAGATTACTAAATACTTCAAAGAAACCAAAAAAAGGATGCAATAGAAAGACAGGTGCTGATGGTCTTTTAAGTTAATCTTGGTTGAGAGATGAGGATGAAAAGGTGAGGGTGCAACTTGCCACTGGAACCGGGAGTAAGAATTGGAGCTGGAGGGGCCAAGAATCCTATGGCAAGATTAAGCAGAAGAGCAAGGAAATAGTATGGTAGAGAAACAGGGGAAAGGTCAAAGGCAGATAAATTTTTTCCAAAGATGGAATGTTACTATGCACATGTGAGGTCAAGAGACCAGTGAAGAGAGACTGAAGATTGCAAGGCAAAGGAAGCCAAGATGGGGGAGAATTGACAGCTGAAGTGGAGAGGGAAGGCTTGCTGAGCCAAAGGAACATTTTTCCTTTGGGACTGAAGGGCAGGACTTCACAGGGAGATTACTTTTACAGCAGGGAGGAAACCCAGGAAAGGTGGCTGAGCACTCCAAGTGAGCACTTATTAGATAGAAAAGTGGCAACATCAGGGCACCAAAGGGCCAAGAAACTGAAGTTACAGAAAGATGAACATAAAAGAGTTTTTACTCCATCAATAGATTCAACGGGAGCATCACAGGGGTCTGATTCACACCCCAGAAAACCTTTATGGTTCTTCTCTTATGCTGCTGGGAGGGTGGGGCAGCAGTACCATTGTTCAAAGAATTGTAAAATCCCTTTGATCCTCACCTCTCCTTCAGAAACAATGGCATAAGGTTGTAGAGACTACAGGTCCATCCCAGAGACCAGGGTCTGTGCTATATGTGACCAAGTAAAGAGAAGGTTGAAGGGCAAAATGAATGGGGACTTATGGACAGATAAATACAAACTAGAAGAAGTTAGTAGCTGTGTCGGAGGACCACTCCATCCTGCCTGAGTTAAGTCTAGTCCACAAAGTATCAGTTCTAGAAACTTTACTGCCAAACTGTTCCCAAACTTGTGTACACTTTCCCTCCAGCCCACACCTGCAAGTTGTAAGGGATAGAAAAGAGTGGCTGAGGAATTTCAGATCTGGTTCTCTCTCTGTTTGAGCTCCTGGTCTGGAGCAGAGGGCACCCCTGGTCACAATGCCCTCCTCCATGACCAAGGGTCCAGGACTGGCACGGCAGGAGTGATAACAGCAAGCAGGCAGTGGCCAAAGCTGGGTCCAGAGGCCCGCATCCCACACTACAGGATCCTGAGGGTTAAACAGACCATAGTAGGCACTTGAAAAGCAGAGTAAGTGCGTTTGGCGGGAGAGGGCACAGTGCTGACTGGGCATCTTTGCCTTAGAGTCTTTCCTTTCGCATTAGCCTCTCGGTGCCAACGCCTGAAACTGGGGCTGCGGGCAAGAGGCAGGGTGTGGGTCCTGACCACTGACCCCTTGCCCTGTGCTGGGAGGGGACCTCAGGGGGAGCCCCCTGCACCAGCCAGCCAGGGACAGCCAAGTCTCTGCTCCAGTCCACGGATCCTTAACGGATTTTCTTTCTCTCCCTTCACCCTTTTCTCTCCTTTGCTCTCCTTCTTTCTCTCTCCCTCTTTTTTCCTTTTCCCTCTCTTTTCCCTCCCTCCCCGTCCCCCTCCCCCCCCTCTCCCCTCCCCCCTCCCCTCCCCCCTTCCCTGTGTGTGAGCCTCTTCCTCTCCCCTCCTCCCCTTTCCGCCTGTCTCCCTCTCTCTCTCCTCTCCTTCTCCTCTCAGCTCGCCGGGCGACCCTGCTCCTGCCTCCCACATTAATGGCGGCATCTTCGGAGGACGATATAGACCGGCGGCCCATCAGAAGAGTCCGCTCCAAGAGCGACACTCCGTACCTCGCGGAGGCCAGGATCTCCTTCAACCTAGGGGCAGGTAAGGACGCCCCCTCGCCTGCCCGGCTCTGCCACCCGGCTGGTCCCTGGCTTCCCTCCAGCCGCTGGCTCAGCCCCCCGCCTCCCGCTGTCCCCTGGCGGCCGTGCCCTCCCCGCCCCTGCCTACCCAGCCGGGCGCTGCTCTCTGCGCTCTTTGTGTCGCCGGTGTGCGGAGGGCGTGTGCGTGTGTGTGCGCCCGCGTGAGTGTGTGTCGCAGGGGTGGGGGAGGGGCGCATGGAGCCCTACATCCGCCCGGGAGTCACACGCGGGCTCTCCCCTTCCAGGAAGAGAAGAAAGTGTTGTCAGCGCTAACAATGACACTGGGAAGCCCGGGCTGGTGGGGACGCCGGTGCGCTGGCTGGCTGTGGGCGGAGGGGCTGGCGAGCCTCGCCGGCGGGGCTGCTGCTACCGCGTGGAACTTGTTGTTGGTGACATTCAGACTCTGGTGATTTGGATGGGTGGATGCCACCGCTGCGGTGCTGGAGTGGAGAGAGGGGCGGGGCTGACCGCGGGAGGGGGGGGACAGAACCTTCTCCTGGCACCGAGCGACTGGCAGGCAACGTGGTGGTCGTCATAAAAGCGTGGGCTACAGGAGGCACGTTGGGTGACTTGACGCTGTCATGGGAACTGGTGCTGCAAGTGGCCCAGGTTGAATTAGGTGGAAAGGGTAACTGGGGTGGAGGAAGGGAGAGCAGGGGGCAGGGGAAGAAGGAAGGCAGAGGTAAGGAAAGAGGGAAAGAGGGGAGGAAGGGAGGAACAGGAGGAAAAGAGAAGCCAAGAAGGGAGAGAGGGCAGCAGAAAGCAGAGCCAGAGATTCAGAGTGGAACCTGCCTCAGTTGAGTCCACTCAGGTTCTCTAACAGGAACCCCAGAGTCTGCTGCTGTGCTCAGCTCGCCCCCTGATCCAGCTGCTCATTGCTGAGAAGAAGTTATCCACCACTAACTTCTAGGTGCTGCCTCTTCTGATAACTCCTAAGCCTCACCCCTAGCTGTGTCTCCTCCTCTCCAGGGTCTCCAGTTAATTCAGTGACTCCACTGCCAAAAGAGTGGAGCTTGTTCCTGAAGGCTTACTTTCCATATAAGTTTTGAAAAACAGGCAATACTTTTTTTTCCCCTCCTTTTAGGAAATTAGACTCTTGAAAATGGAACTGAATTAAACTGTGTGTGTGTGTGTGTGTGTGTGTGTGTGTGTGTGTGTGTTAGAGCAAAGTGAAGCTTCAAGTGATAAGTATTTTACTCCTTGTTGAGAAGTTTGGGCAAAAGAGAACACTCTGCCTAGAAAGGAAAGATTCATGGACTAAGCAACCACATATTTGTGGTTGGGAGAATGGGGACTGCATGTGCCGAGGTAGCCAGTTGATTGGAGTTTGATTTTACTGTGTCAGTGATTTGGGGTTTTGTAGTCATACAAATCCATTCACTTCCTAAATGGTTGCCTCTGGCTTTGCGGATAGAGAAAAGAAGACTTCTTCAGGGAAGCTGTGTTGTGGCCTGCTGTGGTAGCTTGTGGTGTCATCTCAGAGTTGGTGACCCCTTGCTTGTGTATTCCAGATTTAGCATATGGTTATGAAGGGTGTTTTAAAGGACTGAGAAGTGCTTTTTAGGACTGAGTTTTGTTTTTCCAAACCTGGGACATCAGAAGTTATTCCATGGACCCCTTAGTGTAGGAAAAGGACTAATGCCACTAGTAAAGGTTGTTAACCTTCTACTGGCATTCTCAATAAAACAAACAAACAGTAAAACAAAGCACTCAGAAAGGGTTTCAAGTTTCAACTTCTACTCATTACTTTGAGCCACTTTGCCAACAAATTAAACCCAGTGACTTGCCATCTTTTATTCTGGTTAAATTGCTCTGGAGTCCAATTAAGAGATTGGCTCAGGCAGGATTTGTCTCCCTTTGATCTGCAAACAAACAAACCAGGCAAGTATTCTGTCCCTTCTGTATGTCCCTTAAAATACCCCAAATGCAAAACGTCAAGAAGATACCAATGAGAAAGAAATGCTGTGGAAGGAGGCTGGTGAAGGGGGAGGCAGGCTGGATGGCTGGTGCTGCGCACAGCGGAGCTGTCCTCTCTCGGTGGTGCTGAAGTGAAGGGGAAGGAGGCAGAGACGCGCCTGTGAGCTGGACAGCGGACGGAGGGGTGCTCAGACCTTCTCTGTGATGGGATCTCCGGGGAAATGCGGAAGATGTGACCACAGAAACTTTTCTATCCCTTCCCACCTCCATTTGCCGCCTGTTTACTACGCCTCACGCCTACTGCTCCACTGCTCAAATTGGACATTTTTTTTTTTTTGCTCTAATTTTGCACCGGCTGCTCACTCCTGGGGCTTTGTTTATTTTCCAGCTGGTTTCTGGTTGCTTTCCTAACAAAGTAAGATGTACTCGCAGATGTGCCTTTCCCCCGCGTTTAAAAGTAATTGTAACCCCTGATTTGAAAAAGCAAGCAGCCTTGTTTATCTCCTCCAGCAGCAAGTTGTAATTAAACTATTAGCGTCATTATCAGCGTGGCTGAACAGAGAAGCCTGCATACTTCCCATAAATTACATAATCTGGGCATAACAAGAATTTGGTCTGTCTCTTAACAACAATTTATAAACAATGAAGCAAATATGCATTCCCCTACCCTTTCTTTCCATCTCTCATGCCCCCAAACACTCACTCACTGTTCATACTTTCCAGAAAAATCCTTTATTGTTTTAAACTACTTGTGTTAAATATTTGCTTTCCCACACCCACTCATTGTATATAAATCCATCTTTAATATTTTAGAGGCTCAGAAATGCTTCAAGGAAATAAATATACACATATTCATTTTATTTGGCTATCCTGAAATCATTGTGGGTACAAACTAGCTTCCACCAATCTGTAAAGTTGCCAAATAAAGTGGACTGAGCATTTGGAATACAAATTAAACACTTCAGCATTCCTTCAACTATACCCTGCCCCTGATAATACTTAATATCACTTTGAAAATTACTCCAGAGATTGAAAAGGATATATCCCCTCACCTGCATTCCCAAATCAGACACCGAGTAACCCCCAAATGGGGGTCTATCATCACTTTTACAAAGATGTTAATTTTAAGGTTCAGCCTAGAGTGAAAGAACAGAAATTTTCTGAACTGTGTCTTTTATTTGTCCCAAAGAGACCCTTTTCAAGGTTTTAAACTTATTGCAGCATTTAGAAGATATAAATCTTGATAGATGGTTGTTTGCTGAAGATAGTATAAATGCTAGCAAAAATTTGGTCAATGTATTTGCTGAGAGTCAGATACATCAGGCTTCATTTAAAACATTGAAAGTTCCCCTCCTCCGTAGGGGGGGTGGAGATTCAAATGTGTTAAAGGACATTCTGTTACAGAAGAGTAGTATGTTCACACTGTTAGTTGCAAGTGTTCTAATTGTGTTCACACTCAGTGGTGAACATCACTGACATTTAGCTTGAGAGCTCACTCTGCTTCATGGAATCATTCATTTACTACATCAAACTGGATGCAATGGAGAGTTATATCTCCTCTGTCAGGTACTTCCCTGGGGTCCAATGTAATCTATTTATCTTTATATTGAAATTATGTAGAAGGTATCCAGTATATAGGTGGTGATAAAACTGAAAAGTTCTCTATAATTGAGTGAATAAAAATGTTATGGTAAAGAGAAGAATTATACCCATCTAAAACTTCTTAAAGGGATCCAGGAAGAATGGCTAGTCATCCTGATGATTAGGACTGTCTAAACACAAAAATATTGGACTCTATCGAAAAGAAGGACTTCTCAATGTTTTTCTAACTGACTACTTAATACTTTTCTAATCATCAGGAGGCTACTTTTTCCTGGCACTCCAGAATTGCTTTTGTATGGGGAGATTTTAAATGAATGCCATGGTTAACTCCAGCAAGCTTATACTCTTTATGGAGCTAGATCTGTTTTAGTGTCACCCAAGTATAGCTGTTTTTGACTCCCACTGGTCTCTTTCATTCTTTCAGGCCCAGAGAATGAAGGAGTTAGAATTGGTTTGTTCTGGCTACCTATAAGAATCAGATAGATGAAGAGGAAAAAGTGGGTTTTAGGAGACCCTTTTCTATCCCTCTTGAAAAGAAAGACCTTTATCCCTTAGCCACATTTTGAAAGCCCATGATCTTGAGAAGTGGCAGCTCAGAACATAGTGTCATCACTTCGCATTGAGAACCATCCCTGGGGAAATTGAGCTGAATTGAAATTGTTTCTCCTACCTTGATTTCTTAGTAATCATCCTCCATTCCTCTTTCCCTGAAGAAGGCCAATGTATCCCTCATAATATTTTGTTGTTGTTGTTGCTGATTTCAGATTGAAGAAAGATCTTTTGGGCCTGGCTTTTATTGGGTGACCTTAACATTCTTTTGAAGTGTTGCTTCTCATATTTAATAGCCAGAATTCAAGTAGCCAATCACAGTGCTAACCAGAGGTCTCTGTTGTAGGAGGCTTTCCTTCTTGTGTGCCATAGTTAAGTCAGCTAACTTAATAACCTCATTATGTCATGCATTGAAGTGGTGCTAATGAAGATCACCCACGTAATGTAAATGATGTAAACAAGGTACAGGAAAGCAAGTAATTAGTACTAGGAATAAATGGGAAATCTTTTTCCACAAGTATTTAATGTGGCTATTCATGATATTATTGTTTCCACAATGACATTTATGAGGCAACTTAAACATAAAATCTGTCTTGAGTAATTAAATGCACTTAGGATCTATGGTCTGGGTATTCTTAATTTTTTAAACCATCTAAGTATTGTATTTGTTACTATTTTATGGCTAATGGTAAGCTACTTCTTTGGTTTGTCTATATGTTTGCATATGATTTAACCTTCATGGAAGTCCACAGAGGTGTGTTTTAGATAAAAAATGTGAGACAAGAATTAGAAGAACTTGATTCTCAAGTGCTGTATACTAAGACATGGGCAAGCCATTTCACCTTTCTGGGTTTTCTTCATTCAGCTCTAACATGAGAGATTGGATTTAAAATC